ATAAAGAAAAAAAATGGAGGCTAAAGGGTCACGTGGAATTTCAAGATATTTGTCACAGTACAATAGGTAGAAGTTGCTAATTACCAATGGTACATTTTTGAGAATGAGCCTAGGCCCTTCAGAGATACCTAATATATTCTTCGTTTAGTGTTAGGAATACTAATGTCTGTGGTTTTATGTCTTAGAACCGTCATACGATTATGAGGGACGCCGTAGTAGAGGGTTACGAGAAATTGGACCACCTGGGGTTCTTTAGAGCGCACATAAATCTAAGTACACGGGCATTCGAACATTTCCACCTCTACCGGAAATGCAGCCGCCGCTGCGGGGATTCAATCCCGCGACCTTCGTGTTTTGCTTAGTGTTATGGACGGTCCAAAAACAGATGTGTCCACCCTCAGTTTAATAGCGTAACCATTGGCTCATTGCTGACTCTACACGATTGCGTAATTATTCTAAGACTATGCAGTCCCGAAACTCTGGCGTGCACTCGCAGCTGCTGCATAGAGCGCCACGTTGCTGCCTTGTTTTAGGCGGTGGTTGTATAGTCGCTGGTTAATACGATGGCCCGTTTGTCCAAAGAACATCTTCGATGTGGTGTTTGCTACAGCGAACGTGAAGGAATGGAGCTCGCGCGTGCCCATAGTTTGGGGTACAATAATAACACGCCCCAAAACGACCTATAGTACTTATGGGGCTCGAAGGCTGAGCCACAGGTCGCGGCATCGAATGCTAAGCATAATGATGCCATCATTATGCTTAGCATTCGATGCCGCGACCTGTGGCCAGCATGTGTGGCCACTGGCGTTTCGCTTTCACTTCTCTCCCGTAGGTCTGTACATAGCACCGAATGCGACGCCGTGTCGTAGCGTCATGTCGAAGTATTCACTCCTGAAATGAAGTTGAAACTTACTGCAGAAAGCTGTCCCAATAAATTACTTAGGGCTCTCTATTGCTTGACAGTATTTATTATGGGTACGAAATTGCAAAACTTCAATTAACGCTGAAAACTGGAGGTGTTAGGCTTACTCCATAAGGCGAAATTTAACAAAAGAAGAAGAAAAAACCCTTTTCTTGTTACTTCAGAAGCTCGCCCTTGATTGTAGGCTTGCTTGCATTGAACTAACAAGTGGCAGTTGCCTGGTGGGTATGACACTCGTCTGCTAATCCGCAGGTGTGCCATCGAATCCCGGCTGCGGATCACATCTTAAATGGAGGTGAGAATGCTCGAGGTACGTGTGAGTAGATTTAGGCGCACATCAAAGAATCCCTGCGCGTCGAAAGTTCAGGATCCTTTCACTACGGCATGTCTCAAAATCATATCCCCATGGAGTCATGTTAAAGCGCTTTTGATATCATTATTATATTTTAACTTGACCTTTTCAACTCGCTAAAAGACGCCTCGTAAGCCAGAAGACATGCAACAAAAGACAACACTGTAGACGAAACCGCACAAGTGTTAACATTTCGTTAATATCGCAGGCGCAATTTATGACCTGCTTAATTCTTTATCAATGCGCATGAGTCCTAATGTGCACTGAAAAAGTGAGGTATTTAACCTGGCAAGCTTCGTCAAGGTCTGATAGGTGAATGTTGTTAAAATAAAATGAAGGGTGTAGCTCTTTAAAAAGTGCCCGTTAATGATTGTATTCCTTGATTGCTTTTTTATTTCGCAGTGATGGCCGGAAACTGGAACTTGGCATTGTTTGTAGATATTTTATATCCCCCAGACCTACAATACCTCGAAAGAAAACTTGTAAAAGATTCACCTATTGTTATGAAAGGTGCTGACCTCAAACCTGGTGTTCTGACGGCTCACTCATGGCAACTATACTGTCAATGATAGATCAATTGATTGATGTATAGGGCTTAAAGTCCTTAAACCACCACATGATTATGAGAGACACCGTAGTTGAGGGCTCCGGAAGTTTTGACCACCTGGGGTTCTTTAACGTGCACCCAAACCTGAGCATTTGGACCTACAAATTTTTCGCCTTTATCGAAAATGTTTCTTGTACTGTCTCGTGGATGCATATTACGTCTTCAATTCAGCCCTTCCCACGACGTAAACCGACAAGAGTGTTCACGTACATAACGTACTGTATTATAGAATACTTAGTAAATGGACGTCGACAGTATGCCTCAGCTATTTTTTGTTAGTGACATCAAAAATATGCCAATGATATTAATGCCGACGCAACGAGATGTCTGTTGCGGACTGAGACAACGCGTAAGTCGCAATAATTTTGTGTTCTTCCTTATTGGACCAGTATTCAAAACAAACAGGGTGTATGAAAAAAATGCATTGGTAGATCCGCTTGTAAAACATCCAATTAGGCAGTGGTTAGCTTTCTGACTATTATGTATGGGGATTCTCCTGCTTTTTGCAGATGCACGCTATGCAGATTTCTATACCACGTGATACTTCCGCTCGTGCTCCGTGATGGCAGTTCGCTTTACGTGCCGCCTGCCAACGACCATTTTTCATTGGGCCAAGTGCGCTGCCGCTCGAAAGGCAACAGGACAGCGCAGATGGCGGCGGCTGTGCAATAATGCATCCGTCGCTTGCGGTGGCTCATAAAATAACTGATGCACCTGCTCATACCTTTTATGAAGCTGTGAGAGCAGCGATCGCTTGTACGCGGAACGCTGGTGTGCACTGCAATCGCCACTTCATCATCGCTCAAAGGAACAGTGATAAAAAATCTTGGTGACCTGAAGAACACTAGGTAGGCGCTTCGTAATTTGAAAAAAGGTAAATTTTTTTCTGTGCAATGTGGGAAGGGTGTGCCTCTGTGAATATTTTCCACATTCGCTCTTTCCTTAAACAGCATTTTCTGTGTCTCAAAATCAGTTTTTACGAATAAAAATAGTGATTAAAAACGCAACCCAGCGCAAGGCTGTCGTATACGGTCACTGTGCTTACGACCTGCTTTTCGACAACAACAAAAAAGAAACACATACGAGAGCCAAACTGCTTGTCAAGGATCAGCTTCAGGATACTTCTAAGGCAGTCTGAAGACACTGAGTGTTATAATTACACTTCGTCTTCAGAGTGCACCGATTCGAACACTTTCAGCTTCTATAGCTTTTTTACACCTGTTTGTCGTGCTTGTCGATAATTTGAGATGCTAACAGTAAAGAAGGTCTTCAGCTAATGTAAATGTGATTGATTGATTGATTTATTGATTGATATGTGGGGTTTAACGTCCCAAAACCACTATATGATTATGAGAGACGCCATAGTGGAGGGCTCCGGAAATTTAGACCACCTGGGGTTCTTTAACGTGCACCCAAATCTGAGCACACGGGCCTACAACATTTCCGCCTCCATCGGAAATGCAGCCGCCGCAGCCGGGATTCAAACCCGCGCCGTGCGGGTCAGCAGCCGATTACCTTAGCCACTAGACCACCGCGGCGGGGCTGATGTAAATGTGAAGAAATTCCAATGACGAAACGATGCACTGATAGCCGAACCAGCAAAGTCTCCACCAATGAAGCTCGCGGCCTTTTCAGCATGCTTTGAGATCAAGGGTGACAGCGAATACGGTCTAAAAGACTAGACTATGATTTGTGACCAATGGTACCAAATAGCACGTGTGAACTGCGCAGTGCGAATTTGCAGTGAAAAGAAATATCATTAATGAGACTTCGTTGTCTTAGTTTAGATTCACAGTCTTAAGGATTGTGACTTTGTATATTACCCTTGAATTTAGTGGTATTAGTTGAACACAAGCCAAAACAATGCAAAACGGCGTTGAAGCCTCGTTAAAGCACAGTCGATTTACTGCGAAATGTTTACTACACTCGACAACGCATTACGAATGGAATGGAACGACAGCTCACAAAAGAAGCGAGATAAGCACTACGTGACGCTGAAAAACTGAAAAATTAATTTTGGCATTATTTACTTGGCTTGTAGCTACTAAATAAAGTATTTTATTGCATTTGGGACCATATATTTGCTGTTCATTGGTTTTCTAGCTTAAACCTAATTTTTTCAAGACTGTGTTTTTAATACTTAGATACCATTATTTCCCACGTATTTCAGGATAATAAATTGATTATCTTTTTGTATTCTGCGTACTTCTGTACCTACTGAACCATAATTATAGTAATTCCCCTTGCATGTTTTGTGCTATAAATTTTCAAAAACGTCAATGAACTTTATATCTAGGTCCTCGGAGTGAAGAATTGGCAAAACTCGTAGTATTAGGCAGACTTTAATAGATATGCTTCAGCTAAAATTGCACAAACGTTGGATAAAATAATGCATAGACTCGGCGATATATCTCTTTTATTCACTGAAGAAACGGTACCTCAAAATTACTAAAAACTGCGTGAGACGTATGGGGTCCACGCGGTGCCACCATCAGTTTGAGAAGCAATGTACTTTTTCCAAACGATAAACTTCGCAGGTTAAGGAGCTGTGGTTAGGTTTGTCTTATTAGCCACAGCCATGCAATTAGCAGAAACACATCTGCCGCTCTGTCGACTGTAGACTCCGTCTTCAATTTGTGATGCAACATGAACAATAAATAGAATGATATATGTCCTGCGAACAATCATCAGTCTTCTGCTCCATGACGCGCAGATTTGACATCGACGTGAAGCATAAAACTAATGAACGCTCAGAGATTTCGTTAGGTTATAGTACAACAAACGTTTCAAAAAGATACCTTCCATGAGTAATCATAAGAACAGGTTTTATAAAATGACCACTTGGTTAACAAGAGAACGAACACGAAGTCAATACAGCGATATTGCGTGAAGTGTGAATAAATTGCAGTGAAAACATACGCGTAATCACAACTGGATATCGTTGCTTTCAGAAAACCCGAAGGGCAATGAAACATCGATGTCCAGCCTACCAACTAATAGACGGAGTGCCTAGATGCATCAATGTGATTGCCGATACGCTGAGAGAGAATTTGAAATATAGAGCCAAGGCAGGAGACTTACTGATATTGACTTATCCGAAGAGCGGAACGCACTGGCTGATGTACATCACCCACCTCATGCTGAGGAAAGGTGAACCAATGACAACACACGACGACTTCAGTAAAGAATGGCGCTTTCTGGAATACATAGAGATCAAGGACTGGAGCTCAGCTCTGCCTCCGAGGACGATAGCTACACACTTGATGGTTAAAACAATGGTGACGGGTGAAGGGAAGTACATCTATGTCGCCCGCAATCCATGGGACGTTTGCGTCTCGTTCTACCACATGCTGACCAACATGAGTCAGTTTGAATTCCAGGATGGCAAATTTGAAGACTTTGTTGACACATTTCTCAATGGAGACTTCGGCTATGGGGACTACTTCGAGCACGTTGCGTGGGGCTATTCTCTAAGAGAACAACCGAACGTATTTTTCGTGACTTATGAAGAACTAAAAAGGAACCTACGGGATGTAGTTCTAAAACTGGCGTTCTTTCTTGGAGAGCAGTATGGTTGTGCTTTGGAAAGCAACGAGCCGATGCTGCAAGAGCTCCTCGAGAGGTCGAATTGCGATAACATGCAACCTGTTGTGGTCGTCAACTTCAATGGCAGTGCGAATCCTCACTGGGACAAAGTGATAACTCAGAGAAAGGTTACGTGTAAAGAAGGTTATGAGGGTGACGAGAACAGGTACGCGATTGTGAGAAAGGCCAATGCTGGTGATTGGAGGGAGCACTTCACACCTGACCTCTTGCAGCGAATGGAGAATAGGATTCTTGAGGTGGAGAAGCAATCACCGGTCATGAACCTCTGGAATGACATACGAGCAGAAGCGATTAAGTGCATTGCAAATTCCAAATAAAGATCACTCACACAGGACTCGGGCAATGTCGTTGTCATTCAGTAGCTCTGCTGTTCAGAAAGTTTCATTAACCATTCAGTTTAGGTAAAACTTTCTCTAATTATAACGTTGCAGTACGTAAAAGTGCCTTTATTTTTTGAGACTCTTCAACGCACTATACAATTAGTTGCTAATAACCTACTATCTTCACAATTTTAGCTTCAGCTGATATGTTTTAACAGCAAGTTTGGTGAGGTAATGCTACACGGTAAAGGAGATGATTCAATGTGATAATGCCATCAAAAAGCCACAGAGCCATGCCGATTTTCGCATACTGCAGGTTAATGATACAACCATGAGAGCTGCAGGATGATGGACAGACAGACAGACAGACAGACAGACATATGGAAAGAAAGAAAGGTAGATAGCTAGATCGATGGATAGATAGATAGAAAGATAGATAGATAGATAGATAGATAGATAGATAGATAGATAGATAGATAGACAGACAGATAGAAACACTAACATCTGTGAGGTTGTTATCATATGCGTGAGCAGAGCAGTTCTAGTAATAATACATTGCGATGAGAGGCCGAAACAAGTTCCCATCAAACAATGTGAACCTCCAATTTGTCGCAATGGCTTTTCGAGCCGCCATTGTGATCAACGTAGTTGTGCATGTTCTGAGATTTTGTTTTCTCACAGCTTAGCAAACAGTGCCTTTGCATGCAGTGTTTGCCACGGGCTTGAAATGTGGCTTTCCTTTCTTATCTATTTAGTGTTACAGTTTCTTGCTTACGTACAGACAGGAATACATGCCTCGCAGATTCGTACTGAAACTTGTGCCTTCCCACAAATGTAAATTGACATATCCCGCAGAATCATAAGAAAAAAGGGAAAAAATAGTTGCTCTGTACTACCGCAACGCAAAGAGAACCCTTTTGGAAAGCCGTCAGTCAGTAGTAGAAACAGAGGTTGAAAAAAGGACTTTCTGTGAAACTAACCTTTCCCTCACAGGTCCCCTTCGAAAGGAACTAATGAGTGCCTATTCAATGACGGCACTCAATGATTAGGTTGCATAGCATCAACGATATAAAAAAAGAAATTTGTGAATAACTTTATCCTTAAGCTAAGCGCTATCAACATGGAGTGCACCCGATGAAATTCGCGTTCAGCGATTGGTTTCTGTAGGGATTACTCCCAAATTCTAATGGAAAATAAGAAAGTGTTTAATTTATTTTTTTACTCCATCCAGTTAAAAAGAATTTTGGAATGCTCGAGGCTGTTTGTTATGAAGCATAGACATCAGGTAACTTTCATATCTAGGCACTGCACACTACTAGGCCGGCGTGAATCAGTCAACCAATTGGCCATCTGCAAATTGTTAAGCGTCTAGAGATAAAGTTAAGACTATGAGCAAAACGAGTGCTACTCAACGAGAAAAAAAATCAAAGCGTATCAACGGGGCGAATGATGACGAGTCGACGAAGCTCCGCAGAAAATCATTGCTAAAACCGTGAATCTTGCGTGCGTAATTCGCCTAGTCGATCATGATCTAAATACATCTTGAGAAACACTGCGTGTGTATATATAGAAATCAACATTTATTTGTTTTTAGAGAAGATGGGTGGCTTGCGATGCCCCTTCATTATGACGGCTTTATGGTTCGCGAAATGAAGGGTGAGTGGTTCTTGTAGAGGCTGCAGTGAAAAATTCGCAAATGCGATGTCAATGCATGTTCCACGGATCGTGGTAGGTTCGTAGGTTCGATATGGCCATACGCAATACATCTGAGCGAATATATAGAAGACACATGTAGCATAAGCCAATTATTGGTCGTGATTACGATATTAACATTGAAATCACTGAAGAGTATGAACGGTGCATTTGTAATTTTATCACATACAAGCACCATCATATATATATATATATATATATATATATATATATATATATATATATATATATATATATATATATATATATATATATATATATATATATATATATATATAGGGTTCGTTTTTCCGTGTTTTGACACAAATGATGAATTCTAACACACAAATGCCAAGGAATGTGTAGGGGAAGTTATTAGAACTAATGTAATGTAAATGAGAAGAAAGAAAAGTGGGTGAAAAAGCACTTTCCGTGAACAGGAATCAAACCTGCGACTTTTGAATAACGCGTTCGATGGTCTGATATATATATAAATATATATATATATATATATATATATATATATATATATATATATATATATATACATATATAGGAAGAGCAGCTGGTACACGTACGAGAAAACAAGCAGTTCCTTTATCGTTGATTTACGTTTGGGCTGTGGCCTTGGTCAGAGACCGTGAACTTTCCCACTGAAGATATATATATATATATGTATATATATATATATATATATATAAATATATATATATATATATATATATATATATATATATATATATATATATATATATGTATATATATATAAATATATATATATATAATATATATATATATATATATATATATATATATATATATATATATATATATATATATATATTTATATATATTCATATATATCGCTCATTGATTATGAATATGCTTGACCCCGGGGTGGCCTATATGGGCACGTTGCTCGACTCCTCATCCGACGGTCTCACGGGAATGGGTATCGGTCGCGGCGGTCACATTTATTTCGGTCGAGTCTAGGCACGAAAGAACTGTGCACTTGGATGAAGGTGCGCGTGAATAAACTGCAGGCAGGCAAGCTTTGCTGTGCTCACACCGCTACGTCATCTCTGATAACGATATCGTGTTTCGAGCACGTAAAACCCTGACATTGAGTAATATTAGTATACTGCCCGATGAGGTTAAAAAGTTAGGTGTGTTTTACGCACAGCTGTGAGTAACATATTCAGACATTTCACCTATTCTCTATTTTTATATCGTTAGACACAGGCTCATCCGGCTGAAACACACAGAAGGCTCATTAATTTATTTCGTTAAGTATCAGAACCCTTTAGTTGAACACAACGAAAGGTCCCCGAAGCGCTGCTACCCATGATATCCTGGCAGACGTGGCGGACGTCAGAGTAACCAATCTTACAGCTTACGATATTGCAGGAAAATATGAGTTTTAAGTGGACCATTTTTTTTTCTTTTGCCTGCGTCGGAATCTATGCCAGCTTTATGCGCTCCAGCAAACAATTATTTTGTGCGTCGAAAACAGCTACAGAAAGGCACTGGTGCCGTAGATAAATTTACAACGCCAGTGTCTAGTGCAACGACGTCAACACCTTGGCGGCTGATTTCTGTGAATTAGCGGGCGTCCGTGAGCTCTATACAGTTGCAATATAGTCAAGCTTGCGTACACCAAACTCTGAAGAAGAAATCATGAAAAGACAATTCTGAGGGACGCTATGGTTAAGCGCTTTGGAAATGCTGACCACCTGGTGTTCCATCGTCTTGGCATCGTAGAGCACGCAAGACTCTAACATTTTGCCTCCATTGAAATGCGACTGCTACCACCGGGATAGAACCCGCTACCTCCCACCGAGGTGGATGCCCTTCCACGCTTGGGTTGTGCGCAGGAAAAACATTGCGACGAATATATTGCGTTGCAGTGACAGTTGCGCAAATTGTGGTGTGAGACTCTGGTGTATGGTTTATCTAAAGGGACAGATATGAAATGTTTTTATAAAACTTGGGACATGTGTTTTCGCGGCATTTAGGGAGATTGGGTTAGTTAATTTTTAATTTTAGTGGTGAAAGGAGTGAGGTGTGCCACCAGGAGTCAACTAAGTTGTATCCAAGTAAAATGGTGACGTATAGCTGCCACACATCGCAAGTGTTAAATATTGGGCGCGTCGGTAAGTCGTGCTTGAATTGTTTTAGTGCATTACGAAAAAAAAAACAAAAAAGACTGGCCGAGCAGATTCATACACGATGACAGAGCGCTAACTCCCTACTGAAATTTATTAGCAAAATGTATCAATTATGTAAAGTTGTGCATGCGTACAAAAGCGCCCGAAACTAATACCGAGATAAAACAAAATCGCGACGTCACAGATCAAAGTTTCTTGGACGGTCTGCCTGATTAGCTGCCGCGTTTGTGGATGTTCATCTCTGTTTGATCAATGTGAAGTGGTAGATAGGTATTATTCAGAAATCATCCGAGATAATATATAAGCGCATAGTATACCATGAACCCGAATCCTATGTTACTCTGTTACAAGAGTTTGACAACAGAAACCATTACCGTGAACGAGTCGTTGCTTCCAATAACTGTAGAAGAATGTCTTGCGCCGCATTAGGAGTCAGAAACGCTTTTCTATAAGAGCTTTCTTTAGAAGCATTCATTGTTGTATATTTTTCATGCAATAAAACTATTGAACCACCTTATTTTTCTTCATTTCAACCCTCGAACTGCCATGGAAGAACTTCACAGCATCGAAAACAAGGACAGTATAAAAGAGGGGACACAACTAGTGCTGACTTGAAACAGAATTTATTACAAAGAAAGTAGCAGGAAAAGTAAAGCATGTTAGATGGCCTACATACGCGCACACTTGCATAAAAGGCTCACAAAAACCTACGAAAAAGACCACAAGTTAACTTTGGTATGACACCAGATTTCTATACTAGATTGCATTCACTATCCAGATGACTAAAAGAAGGCAGGCTGGCGCACGCTTCACATTTAGTTTTGGTTAGAAAGACGTCGAAAATGTCCCGTGTTACTTTAGCCTCATGTAGCCCCGCCGCGCTGGTCTAGTGGCTAAGGCACTCGGCTGCTGACCCGCAGGTCTCGGGATCTAATCCTGGCTGCGATGGCTGGATTTCTGATGGAGGCGGAAATAATGTAGGCCCGTTCGCTCAGATTTCGGTGCACGTTAAAGAACCCCGGGTGGTAGAAATTTCCGGAGTCCTTCAATACTGCGTCTCTCATAATCATATGGTGGTTTTGGGACGGTAAACTCCACATATTGATCAATTTATCGTCTTGTGTAAAAATTGCAAAAGTGTGAGACAGCTCGTGCTCACATTAAGAATAACGGCAACGCAGCATATGGTGAGAGTAAGCCAAGCCGTTAAGTGAACTGAAAAACACAAAGCAACATATGACTCTAGCGTAACGCCATAGTCTCGTATTGCATCGTACCAGAATGACTTCGAGGTGTTTTTTTCGTAGACTTTTGTACGCCTCTTGCGCAATTGTGCGCGCATGCGACCATAACGTGGTTTACCGTTTCGGCTCTTTCTTTAAAATAGGTTCAGTATCAAATGAGCAATCGGTGATTTTTTCTATTCTTTCATCCTGTGCATGTTTTCGGTGATGTGACGCTGTTTCATGAGGCCTTACAACGTCGCCTTAGCTTCCGCGCTCCTAACATTAAACTGTGTTTACTTAGTTCAAGAATTGTTTTTTAACAATGAATTATTAAGTGTCCTAGAAAACTTCGCAATTGAATGCAAATGAGACATGCTGTTCAGCACATCAGGGCCACGTGCTGCTCTGCTGTGAGCGTTATGTTCTGTACAGCTCAAAAGTGCATAGCTATTTGCAGTGTGCTCAAGCACACGTAACAACGAGGTATCCACATCTTTTACCGTTGTAGCACCTGCTGTAATATTTCTTCAAATATTTTTTGTTGAGAGAGTTGTTCGAGCTGTTACCTATAGCACCTACAATAAATGCTCTGTGTTCTCAACCTTGGTATACCGATTTACTAATGAGCATATTCAATAATGACTGCCCTTACGGAGAACACCTGATTTGCCTTTACCTTGAAAAACGTTTCCAGCGTTTTGTATTGTTGCTGCTCTGAAATATTTAGGGTACGCAAAAAACACTACCACTGTTTTGTGTTCAGGTCTTAATAGGGTCTGAATTCATCGCAATAAAATTCCATATGCTTCAATTATGTAGACTTTGCCGATATTATTTTCATGGTGCTGCTGTCATTGTCTTACACAGGGAATTCAAAGAATGGAAATCCGAAAGCCATTTGCTCAAGTTATAGACGGGGTGCCCAGGTGCGCAGGCATCATTCCGGACATGCTGCGAGAAAACCTCAAGTTCCGAGCGCAAGAGGGAGACGTGGTGCAGTCAACTTTTCCCAAGAGTGGAACACACTGGATGATGTACATCGTTCAATTGATTGTAAGAAAGGGTGAGCCACTGGACACGCACGAAGAGTTCACGAAAGAATACCGCTTCATTGAATACATGGTGATCAAGGACTGGAAGTCATCCCTGCCCTTCAGGATATTTGCTACGCACTTGCCTCTGACTAAGGACATCATCACCAAAGAAGGAAGGTACATTTACGTCGCCCGCAACCCTTGGGACGTGTGCGTTTCCATGTACCACATGGTGACCAACCTGAGCTCGTACGAGTACCAGGACGCTACGTTCGATGACTTCGTCCGCGTGTTCGTAAGTGGGAACTTTGGATACGGCGACTACTTCGAACACGTGGCGTCGGCGTACCACCTCAGGCAGGAACCTAACGTGCTATTCGTCACTTACGAAGAAATGAAGAAGAATACTTGTAGCGTAGTCCTAAAAGTAGCGCACTTTCTTGGCGAGCACTATTTGCGAGCCTTGGAAGGCGACGAAAGAGTACTGCATAATTTGCTCGAAAAAATGAAGCCGGAGCGCATGCGAAGTGTTATGGTCGTGGACCTTCAGAGAAATCCCAACCCTCACTGGAGAAAAGTATTGAATCGATCCAAGGTGACTTGTAAGGAGGGCTTCGAAGGAGACGAAACGAAATACGGCATTGTGCGAAAAGCAAAAGTCGGAAGCTGGAAAGAGCATTTCACACCAGAACTGCTTCGGTGCATGGAAGCTAGAATTATTGAGGCCGAGAAGGCGACGTCTTTTATGGATCTCTGGAAGGATGTCAGAGCGGAGGCGTTAAAGTTGTCTCAGAAGAATGGCTGAATAGGGAAAGTTTGAGCGACTCTCAGGGAAGATCGTGGAAGTACGCATGTCTTCTACTTAACTAGAAATAAAAATGGTCATATACATATCAGAGAGGAGAAATTGTAAGCGCCAATGACGACATCTCGTCTTGCAGTGAATGTTGCTGTGTTTGGCGTTTACACAAAACAAAACTGTGTTAAAGAAAAAATTCACCTGTGAAGCAGATAAGCAAAAGGCCCGTCATTAAAACATTTCCTGCCGCAAAATCTGAAAGTAATTCCAGCTTAGTCATTAGCAGCCACAGCTCATTTTCAGGGTATCTCAGAGGTCCGACAGTTCGGCAATGGTGTTATCGTCTGTATTTCGTTAGACCAGGTTTGGATTCATGGCCTCCTGAAATGTTCTATGTTTGCCTCTAACCCGGTCAGCGCATTTATTCCTTATACTTAGCATGCGTGAAAGGGTTCAGCGAGGCGTAGACATTAATTTCACTCCATCGAGGTATTGGAGATATTTGCAACAGCTGGTGCACTGTCCGTTAATAGGTCTGACCGTTTGGTTGATAAGCCCAAATTTCTAAATGAGTCGGTAATATTGAAATTAGCCGGATCAAGTCGACCAACGGAAACCAAGGCGTGGCCCCTTATCTATCTAGTTGAACCACTTACGTCTCGACTACTGCAGTGCGTAAACTTCTGGTGTTGTGATTACACAGTGAAAAGCTGTAGGTCCACTCTAAGATGCCAGATGTGCGGGGAGCCACACAAGTGAAGTGAGTGTCAGAGCAAAGAAAAAAAATGTTGTCTATGCAATGAAGCGTGCAGTGCTGACAATGGAAATTGCTCTGCTAAAGCTCCAGAAATCTCGATTTCTGAAATTGTCGACCGCAGCCGCTGCTCTCGAAAAGAGGCCTTAGATTGATTAAGGCTACAAGTAAGGGTTATGCAAAGGTATTAGCCGATCATACGACGTCGGCGGATGCATCTTTGTCTCAATCCATAGTGGAAGTGGTCGAAAGAACAGTTGGAAAGTCTATGTAGCGCCTTGCTGCAAACATTTGTGAGGCTCTATCTCAAAGTTTGGCCAACGAAGTGACTCATATGTTTGGAACGCCAATGAATAATAACTTTCAGGACTTCAGAGCTTCTGTGACTGATTATTGACGTAGAAACTGCAACTACGCCATCTGACTTCGTCTACGCAGGACTCTCTCTACATGACAACTACCGTCAAATGAATTATGTAATTGACAAAACTGAGGAGTTTGATGACATAGCTTTGGACCCTAGATCACTGAAACGCATTAGGTCCCCTCTACCAAGAAAACAACTTCACCAAATCATGCAGAAAAATACCTGAAGGACAGGACAAGCCTTCCAAAGATAGATTTAAAAAACTATTCTGGATAAGGCAGTCATGGAGGCAAGTTTTTCGGAAAAAAGGGACACTTGAAAGATTTTTCATTTGAATTGCAGATCAATTCACTATTGAATAACTGGTTTTGTATACTTGTCTTCAAAATTCACCAAGGATTTAGTTGCATTGCAGGAGATATGGCTCTCCGTAGATAAAGCGTTTCATTTAACCAAATATCATTCGTTTAGGCTAGACCGCCCATCCAGAGGTGGAGGACTAGAATTTTTTATCTCTAACGTCCAGAATCAGTATCAATGCGAAAATCTCGTACAAGTATATGTCCCCAGATTGTGAAATATTTGCAATAGACGTCACATTACCCGGTTGCCAACCCAGCTCTGTAGTTATTGTGTACTTTCCGATTGGTGTACAAGAAACAGGACGATTGCTTATGACAATCAGGTCATAATGTAAGGAGAAAATTGTAGTCGGCGATATTAACTCTCATCACACGTGCGGGAGTTCTAAAACTGATCAGTATGATAAACGTTTGTGGGAGCAGGCAACAAATAATATTCTATCGTTCTTAAACACCAGACCCCCCCCCCCCCAATCTATTCGTAATCGATGTCGATCAGCCTTACTTTTAAGCTTCGTGAGTTGGAGTATTTCTAGCTCATACTGATCAGCGCTGCACTGTGCCACAAATTGTGATCATTTTCCCATAAGCTTGAGATTTCGTGCCCGAAAACCCTTTCTTGTTCTCAAGTCAGAGCTTTTGTGAATTACCAAAAAATAGAGATAACCTAACATCAGCTTTATAGACTTTCTCCGACAAAGGTAACGATCGCAAAGCGATGAAGTGAAACGCAACTACTAAAGGGGCTTATAAGCGAGCTGAATTTACTGTTGACCTGGCCGAAAGGGCGCACTCTGGTCTTCGGTGGAATGAAGGTTGCAAACGAGATCGCCACCCACGCCAGGCAGCTTGAAAGCAGTTTAATCACAATCAATCCCCTAAAAACTGGTCTGAATATAAATTCATAGCAGCTAGTTTTAAACACGCAGTCGCTAAAGCAAAAGAGGAATATGATCACAGACATTACAACTTCCTCTCAAAACCAAAAAATAAGAAAGCACTGTTTCGATACACGAGAAGCAAGATCCTGCCATCACCAGTGAATTCGGATTATTACCTTCTATCGTCAGCGCAAACGGCTAAAGTTCTAGACCTAATCAATAAAGGCTAAGAGGGCAAATTTACATCAATTGTGCCTATCAAGTGACAGAATCGCACAAACAAGGCTGATTTTGAGAAAGTTACAAAGTCTGAACTATCCTGCGTGATAAGGCAGTTACTCTTTTCATCTCCGGGCATGGATGGAATTACAGTGCCTCTGATCCAAATAATTTTTATATCTCACTGTGAAGTTATTAATGTTATAAATTAGTGTCTAAAGCATGCATGAGTTTCGTATCATCGGAAAATAGCGAAGGTAATTAGAACTGAAGAAACAGGGGTAAGGCTTCAAGATAGATAATATAGGACCTATATCTTTGAATTCTAACATGGTCAAACCCATTGAGAGGGTTCTGCACGGCAGTATCACTAGTTTTATAGAAGCCAATTCAATACTAAAACCACAAAAAATCGGCAGTAGATTCAATTGTTCAATGTGGTGTGCCCAAGCATACTTAGAGAGCGAAACGCAGCTTGATAAAAAAAGAAGACAATACGTGGCGCTAGTGCTTATTGACATTGCAAAAGCCTATAATAGCGTCGAACATTCAATTTTGCTGAACACACTGATAACATTAAACTTACCACAATACATAACGGCGTGGTTATCAGAGTTCTTGATTTGATGGAAATTTCATTGTGGCAAGGATGGATGCTCGTCATCTAGATACAAAAAGAGTCGTGGAGTTTCCTAAGGAGCAGTTCTAAACCTCTTCTATCTGATATACTAATGAGGTCTATACATACCTGTCAGAATATCTATGCCTATGTGTATGTTGATAATATAGCCTTCTTTTCTGCTGACAATGATATTTATGCTCTACAGCAAACATTACAAATGAATTTGAATTTGCTAGAAAGATTACAGCAGTCAACTTCATTGGCTCTAAATGTAAGTAAGAGTGTGCTCTAGGTGTTTCTCATAGCCGGTTTCATTTCAATCATCATTGAATTATTCAGGAACCCATTCCGCAAGTGGACTCCCTAAAATATTTTGGCGTGTTGTACAATAAAAACCTCAAGTGGAGTGCGCATATAGAAATCATTGCGGTTAAGGCTCAACGGGCTTTACGCTTACTGCAAAGAATGACTAAACGCTAATTTGGCGTACGTAGAGGCACCATGTTAATGCTATACAAAATGTATATGCGCCCAATATTAGAACTTGGATGTATCTTGTTTTGAGGAGCACCTGCGCACAAAATAAAACGGTTGGTTTTCTTGAAGCGGCAAACTCCGCGCTTGTGTCTGGGGCTTCCTAGCTGTGCAGCAATTATTGTTATTTATCAGGAAGCGCGTCTGCCTATATTTCCCTGCCGATTTCGCTCGTTAACCATACAGAAATTTCTAAAATATTTTAGCTTACCAGTGGGAAGAGTTGAATACGTTTTTATTAATGACCCAGATTCGTTCTTTCTCGCTCATTGGCCTCGTTTTCATACATCGCAGATAATCTATGTACAGAAAAAACTGGCAAGTATAAATGTCAAAATAAAGAGGTAATTACATCTGACAACTAAAAGGACATTGTAAGTGTAGAAGGTGATGAGATTTTTTCTTCTCAATCTAAATATCAATGCCACAAGTTCTTAGAGAACAGGTTAGCAGATTTCCTGGATCATACACAGTCACGTAACACAATAGCTACAGATGCTTCCGTCAAATAGGAAAGGGCAGGTGTAGGAATAGTCTCCGAATCACTTGGCTGGTCATTTGCCGTAAGGCTACCCGATTTCACTTTGGTTTTTTAAGTGGAGCTCATGGCAGTAATCAGGACACTTCGAAAACTTCCCATGAATAAGAACAGGGCAGTAATAATTACTGATTCGCTTCTGGTATGCACAGCTCTTACAACTTCTCATACCTCCCGTGCCATCACGACGCTGCGATCTTTAGTTCCGTCTCAGCTGAAGTACCTGAAATTAGCATGTGTACCAGATCACTGAGGGTTAACAATAATTTAAATGGCCGACGTCTTAGCTTACTCATCGCTAGATCTCACAATAGTTCAAATTCTTCCGGTGGTATAATACTTCACGGCAATCAGGCTTAGAAGATTAGCTATTCACACAGGTAGGGTGGAAAAAATAACCACGTGGAGAGAATATAATCACCTAAAATATCAATGGAAGTCACAGTAAAGCCATTCTCGTCAATCACAAGTGACAATCACCAGACCTCGATGTCGTGTCCCGCATTAATGTTTCACTAATACAGGAATATAGTCTGATGGTATCAGCCCTCTGCCAATTCTGCGGCGAACTGGAAAATATTACACATTAACTTTTGTCATGTTCAAGATATTCTGGTATTAAAACTCGAATTCTAATGACTTTTTGCAAAAGTAGGCTTGACCTTATGAGACAAAAATGTTTTAGGCTTCGGTGCCCCAGGCTTGGGATACTGCTACAAGGATGTCTTTGATGCAGTGGGTAATTTCATTATAACTACTCAACGAGTACTATTTTAATCTGTCATTTAAAATTATTTTTCATGTCATTACTTTAAAACC